TCTGCTGTGGCCGCAGAATAAAGGTCTCTGCTGCTGCTGTATTAGCAGCTGCTGCCGGCAGCAGCGGCTCAGTAGCAGCAGGCGCTGCTGCCCCTGCAGCAGCAGCAGCAGCGAACAAACCATCCCCGTCATCAGCTGGAAACTGCGAGTCACCAGCACTGCTGCTGCTGCCCCGCCTCTGCTGCTGCTTCCTCTGTTGCTGCTGCTGTTGCTGGACTAACAAGTCAGACAGCAAGCACACAAGCGCGAGCAGCTCCGCTGCAGCACAGCAGCAGCAGCAGCAGCAAAAGAAACTAAATGGACGCTGGGGATGTACACTGATGGCAGCTACAGCAGCAACGCAACAAGAGCAGCAGCGGCAACGCAACAGGAGGAGCAGCAGCAATACAGCAGGAGCAGCAGCTGCTGCAGTAAGGACGTACACAGCGGGGGCTGTCTGTACACTCGAGCTGCTTCGATGTAGGGAGAGCGCAGCAGCAGCAGAGGGCCCCCAGCAGCGAGAGAACGCAGCAAATGGGGCAGCAGCAGCAGCAGCTGCTGCTGCTGCTGCCTCTTGCGTTCTGCTGCAACACTCACAACAGCGGCCAGTGCAGCCGTGGCAGTAGCAGCAGCAGCAGCAGCACCCAGGAAGGCCTTAACACGGCTCTCAGCAGCTCTTGCTGCTGCTGCTGCATCTGCTGCTGTGACTGCTGCAGCGTGCTTTGCGGGCCTCCACCCCTGCTGGTGCTGGTGCTGCTGCTGCTGCTGCTGCTGCTGCTCTCTCGGACGGAATGCCAAGCGAATTTGCAGCGGAAAGCCTGCCGGCAGCTTCTGCCTTGCTGCTGCCGCTGCTGTTGGTGCTGCTGTTCGTGGCTGCAGCACCGAGCACGACACCCACTTAGGCTGTGTGAACAGCAGCAGCAGCAGCAGCAACAGCAGCAGCCTTGGCTGCTGCTGTTGCGACTTGTTCATTGTTCAATGCGCCTTCATTGCTGTCACAGTCAGAATCTTGCCGTTGTTGCTGCTGTTGTTGTTGCTGCTGCTGCTGCTCCATGTCTGCCTGCAGACAAGTTCTGCTGCAGCAGCTCTTGCAGCTGCTGCAGCGCGGGCAGTAGATAGCACAGGAAGGGGATTTGTACACGACTGTTTCTTGCAGTGCTGGTGCTGCTGTTGCTGCTGCTGCTGCTGCTATTGCAGGGGCAACTCTGCAGCACGAACAGCAAGCGCTGCAGCTGCAACTGCAGCACGAGCAGCAGCAACAAGGCACGCGGCAGCAGCAGGACAGCGCAGGGGCTGGCGGGGCATTTCAGGGCTTACATAAATAATTAACTATTCGAAAGCAGCATTTCCAGAGCTGGCATGCAGACAAATGCTGCGGAGAGCTGCTGCTGCTGCTGCTGCTGCTGCTATAGCAATGGCTGCTGCTGTAACACCAGAGGCAGTAGTTGCTGCTGCGGTCCTCTCAGCGCACAAGGCGATAACCTTAGCAGCAAAGCTCTTTTTTGGTTTAGTACTTGAGAAACAACGCTGCTGTTGCTGCTGCTGCTGCAGCGCGGCGCTTTGTTGATGCCGCTGACGACGAAGCCAGCAGCAGCAGCAGCAGCAGCAAGACGGCACCGGGAGGAAGAAGCAGCTAGCGCTCTTCAGACTTCACCGAAATGTTCCCGGGAGAAAATATAATAACCTATTTCCAGTGTCGCCTTCACTCGTGGCTCTGCTGCAGCAGCAGCAGCAGCAACAGCACAAGCAGCAGCAGCGCCGATTCCCAGAAGATCCAGCGAATGTCTTACGACGGCCCGCGACTGCAGCAAGCTGCTGCTGTGCTGCTGCTGGCTCTGTGTCTGCCCGTCGGGGCTCCGCTGCTGCTGGTCTCGCTTCTGCCGCTGCTGCTGCTGCTGCTGCCTGTCTTGCTGCTGCTGCTGCTGTTGCTGCTGCTGCTGCTGCTTCTGCTGCTCCCCAACGCAGTCTTGGACTCGCGAATAGAGGGTGCCATACAAGCATGGCGGAGACTCCAGAAGAAGCGGCAAGAGCAGCAGCTGCAGCAGCACCTGCAGCCACAGCAGCAGCTGCAGCAGCAGCAGCAACTGCAGCAGCAGCAGCAGCAGCCTGTTCATCTGGTGCTGCTGGTAGTAGGCGACTTTGGGCGAAGCCCTCGGATGTGTCAGCATGCCATCTCTGCGTTACAGCAGCAGCATGAGCAAGTGCAGGAGAAACCGGAGCATCAACAGCAGCAGCAACAGCAGCAGGAGCAGCAGCAGCAGCAGCAGCAGCAGCAATGCGATCAGCAGGCATTTGGTTCCCCCATTGTGCATGTTTTGGCATTCAATGAGTCTCCTCTGCCCGAAGCTCTTGCTGCTGCAGCGGAGCAGCAGCAGCTGCTGCTGCACCCGCTGCAGCAGCCCTCGGTAGAGCGCAGCAGACAACTGCTCTGCAGCAACAAGCTAGGTAGCTGCTGCTTCCTGCTGCTGAAGCTGCTGCAGCTGTCGCTGCTTCTGCTGGTGCAGTTGGTGCAGCTCTTTGCTTCAATCCGCCGCGTCACGAACCAGCAGCACCAGCAGCAGCCGCAACAGCAGCAGCAGCAGCAGCGGGAGCGTGTGCTGCTGCTGCTGCAGAACCCCCCGGGGTTCCCGGCGCTGCTCATAGCAGCAGTTTGCTGCAGAGCTGCTGGCTATCCATTGGTGATTGACTGGCACAACTACACTTACTCTTTGCTGCTCCCGCAGCAGCAGCAGCAGCAGCAGCAGCAGGTCTTGGAGCTCGAACTGCAGCCAAAGCAGCAGCAGCAGCAGAGTCTGCAGCAGCAGCAGCAGTCAGAGGGAGGGCTGCTGCCTTACAGCGGCCTCGTTGGCAGCCTTGCTGTAGCTTTTCCTGCCTATAGTGCAGCAGCAGCAAAAGCAGCAGCAGCAATAACAGCAGCATACTCAGAGGCCTGCAGAGCCTCTTTTGCAGCAGCACGCGATGCAGCAGCAGCAGCAGAATTTGCCCTCGGGCGAACAGCAGCAGCTTCTTTCTGCGTCTCCAGGAGGATGCTGCAGCAGCTGCAGCAGCAGCAAATTGCTGCTGAGCTTCTGTATGACCAGCCTTCGGAGCAGCTGCAGCTGCTACCGCTGCTGCTGCGGCACCTCGTTGCTGCTACCTACTTTCCCGCTGCAGCAGCAG